TTGTGTGCATTATTCCAAATCTTTTTAGTCAATTTCACACCTGGAGAAATCTGTTGTTTTAATCAAGGTAATGGAGCATTTCATTTGGTCATCATTTCATTCGGTCGCCTGTCAGTAGTGTCAGCAGTATCCCCTTTGTGTATATAGCGTTGTGTTTGTCTGACAGAAGAATCGAAATTGACTTTTTATTCAGTTTGAAGCTAAATGATTGTGATTTACGTTTAAGATCTTGGTGCACGCCCTGTTAATGTGTTTTTACTGGATTCAGTCAGTGGGTGTGTTTGTTTCCGGAACCTCTGAGGAAAAGCTGACCAAAACATCTCCCATGATCCCACGCTATCCCATAGTGGCAGATAATACATATTGTGTGTTAAAGCTAAAGAATATAAAAAGCTGTTTCATTGACCTGAAAATGAAACAAAGCTGAAAACAGCTTTTCAGCTCATTTACTTTTAAGCTTCTCCCTGGATAATGACACTGCTGTTCCTGTTTTACATCAAATTTAGCAGGGACATGCCGGTAGACCCGCTTAGGCAGTTGATTCTTTCCCCATCACCAGTAGAGGAGTTTGCCTTTTTGTTTTTTTCCACTGCTGAGTCAGTCACAAATGCTGGAAATCAGTGGCGGCAAACACAACACACAACTGAAGAAAGCATGACAATGTTACAGTGGTGGCACTTTTTCATCATTGGTGACTTAACAACTTAAGGTTGCTTATATGTGCATCTTAACATCACGCCATTAAAAGTGCAGCGTCATCGGGTAGATTGCCAAAAAAGAAGAAGAAGAAGATGAGGAAAGCAATGGATGACATGTTTCCATCACTGCCGATCAGCGCTGAAAAACATCTGTGTCTATTAGAGTCAGTTGACCCGGGAGTGAATGCTGATTTTATCCATTCCCAATGGAGACCAAAGGCAGATGTTAGTGGGGTTTTTGACCACTGGAAAGGGGGCTATACAGTAAGATCCATTGCCCTATATCATGTTACCCAACAGTTCATAGGTTTTAACCACTTCACCGCAGTAATATTCATTTCATGTATAGGAAAGGCTCAGTTAGCAGTATCTGAATACAGCTGTATCAGGAGAACAGGGAAGCTGATATCAGTGGGTTTCCTTCCATTCATCTGTTCAATGCACATTTTCTATTTGTGTATGAGAAATCAATAAAAGCAATATGCGACCAAGTGCAATTGAAACAGACTTAGTGAATAAACACTGATGTGCGTCAAACGTATGTGACTCGAAACATCACATTAAAACATCAGGTGTGTGTGGAGCGATAAGGAAACGGGACACATGAGACTAACAGACACGTTTTCCACTGTCTGAGCTTCGTCTGCAGCTCTTTTAATCAGCTCATCTCACTGTGTCCTCTTCTTATGCAGCAGCTCTGTTTGTCTCCATCAACCGCTCGGCTCATATTTACACAACAGGATCTGGATGGACACGAACATTCATTTGCATTTTGCTTTGCAGAGATTTCAGAAAATTCAGAGGCAGTTATGCTGAACGTTGTTGCTGAGGAAAACACGGTATGTCTGGATCATTTCCTTGATGCGTGTGAAGACCATATGAATCCAGTGCAGTGGTGGGGCCCCCACCAAACAATGAAAACAACTATACAAAGAGAAATATGCTGAATCATGTAAATACAGTGAATGAGTATCGCTGAAAAAAATAATCGTGCATAAGGAGAGTCAAAAACTGCTTTTGATCCCTGATCAGATCAGAAAAAGTCTAAAAGTTTAGATATCGAACATGAACCGCTTCAGTGTCTAAGGTTTGAATCCAGCAGGAGACACATGGGCACACTGTCTTTGTCCTCTGTCGCTGTCAAATAAAGACAGTTAAGAAAAAATAAATAATAATCATGGTCAAGGCAAAGAACAGTAACCTAGAATTGTTTTTTGGGGGGGAACTAGTACAGGGCTGATGTCCACAAGAGCTAAAGCAATAATTTGATCAACTGCACTGTTAGGATTCATTGTGCTGATTAAATTAGTTGTTTCATCTGATCATTAAAAAATCATCAGTGTTTTGCTTTCAGTCTGAACTTAATGTATTATTGGACTGAAAACAAGCTGCTGTTGATCCCATTTCTATTGAATTTATTTTGTAATAATTCAAACAGTCACTGTGCTGGTGGCACATTGATCAATGATGACAATATTCACTGGTTGCATCTCAAAGCCCCCAACACCAGCTTACAACACATCAACAGTCCAGAAAACTGTGACGACATCACCTAGGTCATTTTCTATGCCCCCCAAATGGACCACAGTGGACTCAGTTCACCCACACAGTGCTGTATACTGTCTGATAGTCCACCACCACCATCATCATCACCACCACCACCATCATCCTCACCACCACCACCACCACCATCACCACCACCATCATCATCACCACCACCACCATCATCCTCACCACCACCACCACCACCATCACCACCACCATCATCATCCTCACCACCACCACCACCATCATCATCATCA